TCTCTGCCCTTTTCGTTATGACATCATCTTTCGGCCGTGTCCTTTTGAGAAGCGTCACTCTCTGATTTATGTTTCTGTTTGTATTGTTGGAAAAGTGGTAGCTTAGTGATCTTCTGTACTGGATCCTTTTATTTGTTGATAGACAAAGAGACAGACATAGAAGATCCAAACACATGAACAACCACATTCCCCGAAACATAAACAAACAAACACAGAATTAGACAAACATACATAATCAAATCTGACCATAAGTTAAATAAAATGCCATAGCACTTTTTATATGTCAAATTTACGACCCCGAGAGAGAAAAGGTCGGCATCGCCCCATCGATATGGTGTCGACTGATGAATCAACGTGCCATTCAAAGAGTTCAAAAACTGTTCCTCTCGTCTAATCACCTGAGGAGCGAATCCGACCGTGAGGTGTATGAACAAGCACACACAAGTAGAGAAACATAGATACACACACGTTCATACACCGCGCATGTTCATTTCATGTTCATATCATGTACTAAAAGTTTGTAATTCCCAGTCCCCAAACATACACAAAGAAATTTACTGAGAGAGAAAGGGGTGGAAGAAGGGAGACAAGAGAAATAGAGGAAGAAAAGTGGAAGAGAGGAATGAAAAAAGAGCATGGAATGAAAGAACAAAGAAGAAGAGGAAGTGCAGGGAAGCGAATACAGGGCATAAGGGAAGAAGGGGGAAGGAAGTGGATGAGGATCAGGAAAAAGGAGAAGGTAAGGGAGAGAGGCAATAAGATGGGGGGAAGGGAGAAAAAAAGTGGGGAAGAGGGGGAAAGGTAAGGGAAAGAGGTAATGGGAAGGGAAGAAGGGTGAAATAGTGGGGGGGAGCTGGTATAGTAAGGGGGAGGAGGTGATAGGAAGGGGAGAAGGGAGAAAAAAGTAGGGAGGAGGGGGGAAACGTAAGAAGAAGAAGGTGATGGGAAGGGGAGAAGGGAGAAAAAAGTGAGGAAGAGGTGGAAAGGTAAGGGAAAGAGGCAATAGGAAGGGAAGAAGGGGGAAAAAGTGGGGAGGAGCTGGTATGGTAAGGGGGAGGAAGTGATAGGAAGGGGAAAAGGGAGAAAAAAATGGGGAAGAGGGAGGAAGGTACGGGAAATAGACAATAGGAAGGGAAGAAAGGAGAAAAAAAAGTGTGGAGGAAGTGGAACGGTAAAGAGAAAGAGGTGATGGGAAGGGGAGAAGGGAGAAAAATAGAAGGGAGGAGGGGGGAAAGGTAAGGGGAAGAAGAACTTTGGAAAGTTTCTCCCTCAGATGATCGTCTAAGCAATACAGATAGGGCGGGCCGGCCGAGTAAATCTGTAGCGGTGTATGCAGGGCTGGTAGGACATCGGCCCCACATATTTCTTCATAACGCAGCCTATTGAGACCGCGAGCCGTACAAAAATGCTGACTTTCCACGTTTTCTTTATCGGACCCCATTGTTTGGGGAGACTCTAATGCTTTTTGCTGTCCGATGTATTTATGGGTCCGAGTTAATAACTGGCGTAGATGCGGGTTTGGAATAGAGTATTATTAGCTCTTCGATAAAGATTCTGTTTGCGGAAACTAAGGGTATGAGATCTGGTGTAAATTACAATCGCTGGATATAAGACTATCTTTGTATTTATACATATATATTATATGCATATATATATATATATATATATATATATATATATATATATATATATATATATATATATATATATATATTTACACACACATATACACACACACACGCACACACGCACACACGCAGACACACACACACACGCGCGCGCGCGCGCGCGCGCGTGCACGCACACACACGCACACACACGCACACACACATATATATATGAGTGTGTGTGTGCGCGTGTGTGTGTGGAGTGTGTGTGTGGTGTGTGTGTGTGTGTGTATGAGTGTGTGTGTAAATATATATATATATATATACTATATATATATATATCTATATATATATATAATATATATATATATATGCATATATATATATATAATATATAATATATCTATATATATATATACATATAATATATATATATATATATATATATGTGTGTGTGTGTGTGTGTGTGTGTGTGTGTGTGCGTACGCGCGTGTGTATGTATGTGTGTTTGAGAGAGAGAGAGGGAGAGTGAGTGAATGAGTGTGTGAGTAAGTGAGTGTGTGTGTGTGTGTGTGTGTGTGTGTGTGTGTGTGTGTTTATGGATGTGTGTTTGTGCCTGTGTGCGTACAAAAAGAGAGAGAGACAGACGGTGGGTGGGGACAGATAGACATACAAACAGACAAACAGACAATGAGAGTTTAAAAGTGATGGAAAATATCTAATTTAATTCATATAAATCCTACTTTTAGCCTTTTAATGACACACATAACAAAACTCGTGACAGTGAAATCGACTCATTATGGCCCGAGGAGAACCGGTGGAGCGCAAGGCCATAATAACATCCCCTTTAGGAGCAGACGGGCAGACTCTCCCCTTCCAGATCAACGGGAGAC